TTTTTTGGGAGGGGTTTTAACCTGTTTTTACCACTTCCCTTTAAACAGTAATTTCCTCAACAGCCTGACCAGATGGTGGATTTTACTTCACCGACCCCAGCTGATGAGCCATCTTGACTGCAATCTCTCCTCATCCCGCTTGGTTTTGAGCGATTGAGCGAACGTCTGCCCTCTTCAGTTATAGCACAAGATCTGATACTGTCACTGCTCACTACTTGACTTTCTCTGCATCGTCCAGCTGATTATCAGTGTACACTGTACAGTGTAACACAAAACAATCACCCAGAAGAACCACAGAGCTCCTTCCTGCCTCTCAGCTCACATGCTTGCTGCTGTAATTATACCCTGGCCTTAGATTTGGTCCTTAAAAATAATAGTCCCTTCTGCGTGTACAGTAAGACAGCAGGAAAAATTTGTGCATAAATATAGCAGGATGAGGGGGAAAAAATGCTCAAGGGCAGATGGAAAGGCGTTTGTATTTATTTGAGGTTATATCTAAACTTAGCTACAAAGTGCAGGCTGTCTTCAAGCACCACATTTGGAGGTGAAATAACATGCTAACAGGGGGGTGGATGGGTGGGTGTGGGGGGGATGAAAGGCGATTCTGCGTCTTTGTTTCTCTGGATCTAAAAATAGCTCATGCTGAGCAGGCAGTGGAGCTGAGCTGCAGTCCCTTCTCTTGCTCCCTTTTTTCATTCTTATTCCATCTCTCACTTTCTCACACACAAAAATGCATCACCCTAATGGTGCACGGGAGGTGGTTTGGAGAGCCAGCGCGGAGCGGCGTTTTGGGCCAAGCTGTTCCACCCCTGTCTTTAAATTGCTGTCAACACAGAGCACCTTTGGACGCAGGGCCCGGTTTTAATATTTATGTGCTGACTGGCGTGTCACCTGTGCATCCATCCGCTGAAAGAAATGGCAACATGAGACTCCAGTCTAAAGGTTGGGATCCTCCAATGTACACATTAACATCAGCTGCTCAAAGTTCTGCATGTGAACTCTTCAGAATGCGGTCAGAAGCAGGCGTTGCTTGTTCTGACACAAGAAAAAGCCATACTGCAGTTGCTAAGGCACTTGATAAAGCCTGGTCTTGTTATTGTCCTGCAGATTAGTTTCCCGCCCACACACACACACTCCTAGTCTCACAATTATAGAGGGAAGCTGTGCTCACCCTGTTTTAAGGGGTAACAGCTGAAACACAAGCAGACTTTGTAAACCAGGAGTTTCTGCACACATGCATGCAGACATACCGTACATATATATCTATATATTCACATACAGTATAGAGTATGTGCACGTGGGTCAGGTGAAAATGGGTGAGCAGGATTTACACTTGCAGAAAAAGGTGAGTTGATTCACAATATTTGCCTCTGGAGTGAGTCATGTATTGCGTAAAGGCTGGCACTGGAGATGAGGAATTTGCTTCACATTTCTTCACTTGGCAGCCAAAACACCCTCACACAGTGGGAGTGATGGAGCACATATTTCTGTTTCTCATGGCTCGAGGAGCGAGCACCAGAGGCAGAACGTGGGAAATCACTCGGAAATTAACTAATGGAGACAAACAGCACTGGTGCCATGTTTTGTGAGATTTTATAACAAAGTTTTGTGTTGTGGTCTTTTGTTTTTCCTCGTGGAGCTCCATCTCGACTGGGGATGCATCAGCTCTGGGCTGATACTGTCCATCCATCAGTTTTCTTCTGCTTAGGTGTGAAGAAAATGGGTTTGATCCTGGAAGCTTATATCGTGAGCTCGGGTGATGGTGATATTTGCATTTTTATTGCAAGAAAACAATAAGTTTTTCTGCTTGTCCTCCCCTCTACACCACTCAGTCACGACAAATGCCTACTGCTTCTGCTGGAGCTTTCTTCCTGTTAATAGAGAGTTTTTCTTTTCCACTGTCACCAAGTGCTCGCTTGTAGATAGTCGTCTGACTCTTGAGGTTTTCTCTCCATTACCTTGCAAGATATAGAAGCTTGAGGTAATTATTGTTGGGATTTGGGAGCTATATAAACAAAAATGTATTTAATGTTTGTTTGTTTTTTACATTTTTTCTCCACATACCCAGTAACAATAAATATTGGCCACCGACATATCAATATCAGTCTATTTGGCCAATAGTGGATCCGTAGCATAGTGATTTGTATGATTGCTCTGCCAAGCAAACAACCTCTGGTTTAATCATGAGGGGACACACAAATCCCTTAGGGGTTGTGTCAGGAAGGACACACAGTGTTAAAATCTAACAAATCAAATGTGCATCCTATCTGCTCTGGGGACCTCTTGTGAAGAAGGATGTAGGTGAAAATAGCTCCCGTCAATCTGGCCACTATCTGTCGCTATCAGTATTAAGGTGATATATCAGTGCATCTCGAATCTGATATCTTCTGCACTTAAACGTTTTGTTACATATTATCAACACATACATACATGTGAATGCATGGCATACGATATTAGAAAGGAATTTTCTAATGGACAAGACGAGCTCTGAGATTATTGAGTGGGAGGATCAAACTGCTCAGAGGCTGGGGAGTAAAAAAAAAAAGCACTGCACTATCATACTTTATCTGCTACAGGCAAATCCATCTCTCAGCTACACTGTTAATAAGATACAAATGAATGCCCGTTTCACACGGCTTCCTTCTGATTACATGCAAATACTACACTACTGCTGTATTATCAGCGCTGATTTGGTTACAGATGATGCGGCAGCTTTGGCAGAACTCTATTTAGCTGTGACTAATGACCAGTCGCTGGTAATTACCCAGACATTACTGTGTTGTGGCGGTCGGGTTATGGACACGTGTGAGAATTAAAGTGTTCCACTCAAACACCATTGTTAGTGGTAACCGGGAAATGCAGTGTAACAAAGGCAGTACTAAATACTGTGCAATAGACATCTCACCTGGTGTCGTCACCCCAGTGTGTAAGACTTAAATGGGGGCATTCGTTTGTCACATTCAAACAATTCACTTTGTAATACAGCACACATTAGACTGCATTATGAAGATGGATTTTTTAAAGCAGAGTGTTTTTTTTAAAGGCGCTATAAATCTTAAATGATTACAGTACAGCGTGACTGTGATTTTCATCGTGCACATGGCCGGAATTAGCATGATTATGGATTATGTGTGCAGCTAAAAAAAAAGCGCTCTGATAAATCTGTGTAAAACACAGATTGCAATGATGATGTAAGCTGTTGTTGACTTTCCCAGTCTGAATGACTGAGGAAAGGATAGGGGGTGGGGTGTCATTAATCCAGGGCTAGTGGTGACTCGCCAAGAGAAAATGGGGTGTAGTGGGGGATGGGCGAGGACACTGTTATGACTGGTGCTTGGCTGCGGGACAAACTCGCTGAGGCCTTGGTATGTTTTTTTTTTTCGTAATCCCCCCCCTCATCTTATCACTCGGTTTCAGCGTGGAAATGCGGCTCCACGTTGGCGTGAACATATGAAACGGGCGAAGACATTATATTTAATCAACTCCGAGGACAGTTTCAGCATTTGCAAAACCCGGCGTGATTTTTGGTGGCTTTTTTTTTTTTTTGAGGGAAATAGGTTAGTTACCGCTCTATGGTTGTGTTTCAATTACATGTGGACGGAATTAGAAAATACCCTGTTATTCTAGCACGAGTGAGCTATTAGTTTTGATTATTTAACGGAACACACGTGGAATATTTTTACATAATGGGGTCCCGTCGTCACGGGTTAATCTTTATATTGAGCTTTAGTCCGCGCCGCTTTGAAATAACAGTTGTTACAGGAGCTCATTTTTGCATGTCGGGTCACTCCAATGTGTCTAATGTCTGAAGCCGTTACAGCCTCTCAACGCCTACCTTTAGCTTTAATATTATAACCTTATCGTAGTTCATATATGTGGGAAAACCACCATTCTTGCAATCGGTTAAAGAGATGACACGGTCTGACTTGAACACGAGAGCTGTGGAAGATATCGCCAATTGAGAGGTTTTTGTCCAAGTAGGTAGGAAATTGTAGCTAACTTGTTAGCATAGCATGCTAGGTTAGCTAGTTAGCTTGTTGGAAGGCTCAGAGCGGCAGCGGGCTGACGACCTCACTGTATTGGTTTGAAATGCAGTTTCAGAGAAGCTAACTTTACTCTGTTGTCGTGAATTGCGTATATTTTTGTATGAATAAAAAAAGTTACGGGTTAATAGAACTTTAACATATTTGATTGGCAGATGGGGCTAAGTGCTTGTGAGGAGCATTAAATGAAGTACAGACCGCCTTGCCTGGCTGGCATGTGTACTGACGGGTACGGCCGCCGCCGAGGCAAAACTAATGTTAACTCGCACGTTAGCTTTTGATTAGCTTTTATCACTGCACATTGCCACTAGACACCACATTAAAATTGCATCTACACAACTTTTAACTATTCTTTGGTGGTGAAGTTAAAGGGAATGAAACGCAAGTAATTAGCCTTCATTTGACAATTATATCTGGAATGCTAAGGCCGGTAGCGCCCTTTCGCACATTCGCATCTCCCCGTGACACATGACATGTGGACAATTGTCAGCCTACCTAGAAATACAGCAGGAACTATTTAAGTGTATTTATTGCTACTTTGTTAATAGATGTGCTGATAGTAGAAAGTTTATTTTAAACAGAGTTGTCTTAAAGGCACTTGGGGGCAGTTTGAGTCATTTATGAGCACACACTGCTGATAGTGACTTGTCACACACCAAAGTTCAACTCATTCATTCATCGCTAGCTCCCTGCAAACTAACATGATGACAAATGTATTTAACTTGGCTCCAGTCAAACAGACGACCTATCGCCTAAAATGGTAACTAAACAAAATCTGATTTGCCCAGTCGAAAGTACTAATATGCAAAATACCACATGAAGAAGTGAGCTATTGTTGGTTAATATTCTAGGCAACGGCTGCCTTTATTACATTGAATCAACAGTGGAGCATCTGTATTTAGTTTCCCTTTTACTATTTAAGTGTATTTAAGGCATGCGTCTCTTTTAGAGAAGTACTGCAGGGATTGGTGCCAGGCATGGCACACATATCCATTTGGTGTATTCAGCTTTTTGCATTGCTGACCTAGATTCTCTCATTGTTTTGTGACACGCCCCTTCCTTCAGAGCATTTTACTCAGGTTGCCTTCTCATCCACTTGCTAACAAGCCGTTGCTAAAATGTTCGTTCTCAGCAGGGTAATTTGTCATGGTACTGATAGGGAAACTGTGTCCCGCGTCAGTGTTTGGCAGGGCCTGTCTGGTTCTCGGAAAGCTGGAGCAGATTATATACCTCCACTACATGGGGAGAGTTGGGCTGCGAGTAATAAGGGTGCCACTCATGAGTCTGACTTTTCATATCAAACTTAAAAGATATGAAAATATGTTTTGTTGACTTTGTTTGTTTGTTTTAAAGAGTGATTTCACACCAAGCAGCTTTTGTATGTATAATGAACTGTAGTGTAGTTACTGATTTTGTAATGGGGCATTTATGTTTGTATTTTTCTTCTCCTAGGGGCTGAAAGTTGTTTCCGAGGACAAAAGCGCTATGATGCGCTTCTGAGGATATCACGATCACATGGGTAACACATATCACTATTTGCTGTCCTTCCT